GCTCAAACAATCCACCCGCCTCGGCCTCCCAGAGAGCTGGGATTACAGGCGTGAGCCACCGCGCCCGGGCAGCAAGAAAACTTTTAAAAATTATTATTACTAATACCGGGGGGTTGTGAATCAGAAAGAAAGGTGTAAAAAGTCGTTGTGTTTTGTGATGTGCTAAATGAGGCAGGCAGAGAAAATATAGGATTTTTAACAAATTTTTAAATCCTAAGTTTAAATTTTGGCTTTGACACTCCCTAGCTACTATAATACGTTCTTCGAAGCAGGTCGTGAGGATTAAATAAAATTGATACCGCCTAGCCAAGTGGGTCCATTGCTCTTTGCCTGGATAGAGGCCATTATACCGAGCAGGAGTTGCAGCAGAGAAAAAGTTCAATATTGCAAGGTGCTGAGTGAGGAGATGAGAGAAATTTTTCACATCCATATCCTTGAGAATTTTGGGTCTAAGATATTTAAAAGTGGTTTGGTAAACAAAGGGCTAGGGAATTGGTTCTGCTGATTGGCTGGGGATGAAATCATAGGTATGGGAAGCAGGAATTGTCTTCTTGGCTGAGACAGTTTCTGGGTAGAGGGTTGCGGGACCTGTGGGATCAGTTCCCAAGCATGGCCACTGGTCTGGTTGATGTCAGTTTGTGCCCCTGAATGCCGAGTCTAGAAGATATCTCAAAGATGCATCTTAGGTTTTACATGCTATCTATAGAAGGGTTTGGGGAAGTCAAAAATCTTGCCCCTGTCAAGGATACCTGACACTTACCTCATTTTATCCTCACAACAATTTTATGAACCAGAGATTTTATTCCCGTTATACAGATATTGAGATTGACTCTATGAAATGTTGAGTAATTTACCCATTGGCATGCAGCTTGTAAGTGGCAGACACAGATTTTTAATTGAGTTTGACTTCAGGCCTCTCCACATCACTAAATGCATAACATTGCCATGTTTCTGTCTAATGGCAGGACATATCATGACTAAAGAACAGAAAATCATTACAGTAGGATGAACCCACAGTTGTGGAGATGTCTACATTAGGACTGTGACAATAAATCTCTTAGAATTAGCTCTAACTTCTTTTTTTCTTTTCTTACTTTTTTTCCCCATCTTATTAGCCTTCCTTTTTCTTTTTTACTGTTTTTGTTTTTATTTCAGCAGATTATGCGGTACAAATGTTTAGGTTACATATATTGCCTTTGCCCTGCCCAAGTCAGAACTACAAGCATGCCCATTCCCCAGACAGTGCGCACCGCACCCATTAGGTGTGAAGATACCTGTCGCCTCCTGCCCCCTCCCACTTGTGCGACACCAGATCAATGTTACTACCCTATGTTTACATAGTGTTGACCAATTAGTACCAATTTGATGGTGAGTACATGTGGTGCTTTTTTTCCCATTCTTGTGATACTCCACTTAGTAGAATGGGCTCCAGCTTCATCCGGGATAATGTAAGAGGTACTAGTTCACCATTGTTTTTTGTGGCTCAATAGTATTCCAAGGTATAAATATACTTCATTTTATTAATTCACTCATATATTGACGGGCACTTGGGTTGTTTCCACATCTTTGCAATTGTTAATTATGCTGTTACGAACATTTGAGCACAGATGTCTTTTTTATAGAATGTCTGTTTTTCCTTTGGGTAGATGCCCAGTG